TTTTTACTGCTGTCCATCTTCCATAAAAAGCTTCATGTAGTGAAATCCATAATGGTATTTACCTGTATATTTTTCCTTTTATTTCCTTCCATATATTTAAAAGTGCTTTTCTTATTATGTGATGTTTAAATTTTTTATGAATCACATAATGAATCATACCATAAGTAACTGTGCCACCCATATCTGTTATTGAATCCTTCCAAATTTAAAATTTCTTCTCTTTTCAGCACCACCCAATCTGATATCCAATCTAGCGCATTGGCTTTATGGTATAGTTCCAAATCTGGCAAATTCATTCCTCCATCCTTTTTTTGCCTTATCGTTGTTAACCAATTCACTCTTGCTTTTTTGTTAATCCACACAAAATTCCGGCTTATAACGAATTTTTGATGAATGAATTATTCAAACATATTTCTCATGCAGGGTGCATCTGGCAGTGTACAAGTTTTGAGATCAAAAGATGTTGATCAAAATCTTTCTTCACTATATGTACTATTTGGTAATGGTATGTTTAATAGAGTCTAACCTGAAACAATTGACTATTTTGATTTAGGTACACAAGTGTAATTTTTTTGTGTAAAATGAGGTGTGTAATGCAGATTTATAAAGGCAATTCCTTAAAATGCCTGTTGATTCAGTAATGGACTAGACACTTGGGTTCCATTACAGTTATATGTTCAGATAAAGAATATATTATTTCCACATTGTAATTAAACAGTGCATCTTCCCCCTGTGGAGAATCTGTTCATCTAAAAGGCTGTTGAATTATGCAATCAGATCAGGTTTTTCCTCTTCTTATTTTCTTACTGGCATTGTGCTACAAGTGCTGGGATACCTTAAACCTTTAAATCTGAAACAGAAGAATCTGGTTATCAAAGCAGCAACTTACTGACTTTGTTGGGATCTGGAAGACATTTACAAGGAATGGGTGGGGAAAAATCCAACAAAATTTTGAAAGCAGTCCAGAAAATATGTGAATCTCCTGAACATTAAGCACCATCAAAACATCCTTGTAAACTTCAAAAAGTATTCTGACAGCATGGTTGATAATCAAGGTATTAATTCTGAACAAAGGAGTGAAAACAAAATAGAACTCAAAAGACTTTATAACAGCTTTATTGACCATTGTACTCATTTATTGTAAAACAAATTCAATGAGAGAGACAATGCTGTTATAGTAATTTATAGCATTTGTTCCAGTATGGGGATGAAGACCATTTGAATCTACAGTGGACCCTTGGTATCCACTGGAGTTTGATTCCAGGACCTCCCATGGCTAGCAAAATCCATGGATACTCAAAACCCATTAAATACAGTAGCATGGTAAAACAGTGCCCCTTATACAAACTGGCAAAATTAAGGTTTGCTTTTTGGAATTTATTTATTTATTTATTTATTTATTATTTTTTAAAAAATCAAGTCATGGATGTTTGAAACTATTTATAAAACAATCCCTGGATATGGAGGGCTGACTGTATTATGTGAAAAAGTGAAGCACGACTCAAGCAATTGTAAAAAGTCAGAAAACTTAAAACCACAGCGTATATATGTGTATATATATGTCTTCAAACCAGCTGGTGACTTTTAGTGACTGCATGAATTTCATAGGATTTTCTTAGGCAGGGATTACTCAACAGGTGTTTTTTCCCAGTTTCTTCCTCTGAAATATAGTCTACATCTCCTGGTATTTGTTGGTGGTCTCCCATCCAAGTACTAACCAGGGCTGATCCTTCTTGCTTCCAAGATCAGACAGGATCTGATACCTTCAGGGTATGTAGGCCACAGCGTAAATTGCCCCAATCCTTTATTAAAGGAGTGTCATTAGTGCACTTGGCAAAGGAAGTCATGAAGCATGGACATCCATTTCCTAGACTTGGTCTTTTGGTTGAAGCTGGCTTACCAAACATATTACCTACTCGGTATCTTGCAGTTTCTCTAGTGTATTTTGAGCAGTGTTTTAGTGTCATATG